ACCAGCTGGTGGCGGTAATGCACCAATTAGATGTGTGCCAACCTCAAGTATGCATCAAGAAGAAGACGCAGAAGAAGACGCTCTTCCGCCTGCTGTTGTGGTTGTGATTCCCGTCGTCTGGTCTACCTGGATAAGGTGAGGCTGCTGGGATCAGAAAGATCAAACACCATGGCTAAAGTGAGCATAGAAACGAGACACAAGGTGGTGAGCCTGCGCCAGCAAGGTCTCTCACAGGCGGAAATCTCGCGGCAGACAGGTGTTTCCAAACGTGCTGTCCAAGCTCTTCTGCAGAAGCACAAAAAAACGGGCACGGTTGAAGATCAGAAACGCAGCGGCCGACCGAGGAAACTAAGTAAAGCGGACGAAAGACTCATTAAGCTGACTTTCCTGGAGAATCGGACCATGTCCAGTAGCGCCATCACCTCAGAGCTGGCGGTGACCAGCGGCACTCTGGTGGACCCATCCACCGTGCGGAGATGTTTGGCCAGGAGCGGTCTTAATGGGAGGAGAGGGAGCAAAAAGCAGGTCCAGATGTGTGAATCGAGCGAAGACAAGACACTCTCAGGTGAACAGAAACAGGAGGACTTGGATGTCAACAAACTGAAGCAAGAGGAGGAGGAGGAGGAACAAGGGGAGCAGGGGGCACAAGGGGAGCAGGAGAAGCAGGGGGAACAAAAGGTGTGGACTGGAGATTCAGCAGATGAGAGATCTTACTCCAACTCGGAGGGTGGAGACAGCCACAGCGACGAGAGACTTTAGGCAGCCCGTGAAGCATGCTGGGACTGCATTTCTGCAACTGTTGTTGAGTTTTTTGTCTGAATGTGTGAATTCCTTAAAGATACATCATGGGGGGAATTCAAATTATTTACTTTACATATGTTTTTTATTTGGTTACACATTACCGTTTGGTTTACTTCTTTCTATTTAGTCACTTTGTTAGTGTCTGTTTGCCTTTATGTATCTACATTATTGTGATCAGCCAAAGATCTCCTTTGTCTTCTGTCTGCTTTGTCAACTTTGGGCACTTTATGTCACTTTATCTTATCTCGGCCTTAAAAAAAAGTCAAGTTGTTTAATTTTATGTTGTATTTAGTTTAGTTTTTGATCTTTTTGTAAATTGTTTTTCACATTTTGGGGGTAGAGTAAAACTTACATGTGCCCTTCACGCTGCATAAGCAGAAAAGAAATTCGGTGCATGTCCTCAAACAATGTCACTTGAGTCTGCATGGGACAGGCGGAAGAATGGAAGTTTTAAAATGAACAAGGAAGTTAGAGAAGCGTGAGCTTGTTAGGCATATTCTTATAATAATCAGCAGACTGGGATATATGCTTGAACCCAAATTAGCTGATAAAAGCAGAATGTTTAAAAAAAAACTTCATTTTGACATGATGGCATCAAACAGTCGCTGCAGGTTTGTCTGCTGCACATCCGTGATGTGAATCTCCTGTTCCACCAAATCCCAAAGATTCTCCATTGGGCTGATACCTGGTGATTTAGGTACTCGGTCATGTTTAAGGAACCAGTTTGAGATGATTTGAGCCATCAGACAATGGGTACAGTGTGGTTGTATAAGGATGGATGTGGTCAGCAGCCATACTCAGGTAAGCCGTGGCATTTAAACAATGCTCAGCTGATATTAGGGGGCCCAAAGTGTGAAGAAAATATATTTGATACCATACCAGCAGCTATCCAAGGTGTTGTTTACACTAAATTCTGACACTACAAATGTCACAGCTTTTTTTCCCCCCCAGTTTTCTATTGTCCAGATTTGGTTTGGTGACAGAAGAGGCACCCAGTGTGGTCTTCTGCTGCTGTAGCCCATCTGCTTCTAAGTTGGACCTGTTTTGCATTTAAAGATGCTCTCCTGCATACCTTGGTTGTAATGAGTGGTTATTTGAGTTACTGTTACCTTCCTATGAGATCAAAGCAGTCTAGCTATTCTCCTCTGATCTCTGGCATCAACGAGGTGTTTTCACCATGACTGGACATTTTCTGTTTTTCTGACCATTTTCTGTAAACCTGAGAGATGCATGTGTGGGAAAGTACCATCACTTCAGTAGTTTCCAAAATGCTCAGACCAGCCTGTCTGGCACCAACAACATTCAAAGTCATTTAAATCGGTCTCCC